TTCTTAGGAGTGCCACAACAGTGGAAACCATAGAGTCGTTTGACAGGCGTTGGCCTCTGGTGGGCTCCTCTCCCTGCCACATAGGCTCACTTGATAAACAGAACTCTTCAGCCCCGGAAATGTCAACTTGCCTTTTAATTAACTTCATCTGGAAAAGATGGTGGTTGTGGTCTTGTATTTACTTACTGTTTTATTTTGAGCAATATATTCTAATAAAGAAAGCCTGTGTTCTTTATATTAGTACTTTAAATGCATTTCTTTGTTCATGCCTTGCTTATCAGGATCCCTGACCTGAAGCATGTCATAAAATAATTTCCGTGTTAATTAAAAGCTGGGGAAGGAGGGAACAATGGGTTGCCTGCTTCTCCGGAGGCTGGATTAGCTCTGTTGGGATTACAAAAGCAAGGCATTCATCTAAATTCACCCCGTTTCACTCTGGCTGACATCTGGCATAATTAAAAAAATCCAACATAAATTACTATTTCCCCCCCCCCCCCCCCCATCTTTGCTCAAGTCAAGACTATCAAGGAAGAATCTTTTCAGGACATTTATATGAACAATGGAGCCCAATTCCCTGAAAGCAGCTATAGCTTAGCAGGTAGGTGTTGGAGGAACACACAGTGAGATCTCCCTGTTCAAATCTGTCCTTCCTGAGCGTGACCTCAGTCCACTGGCAGAGCACAGTGGCTAGTAAGCATGTCAGTTGTAAGGCAGCAGCCCCAGCTGTGAATGCCCTAGGGAGTGCTCTGAGATCATTCATAATCATCTAGCCCATTGCAATATGGGGAGAATAATACCAATTGTACAGTGTTGCAATAACAGTTACTGAGATAATGAATGTAAAAGCTCTGGGCTCTTAAAAAGTGCTACTGAAATGCTAAGTAGAAGCATTCACTTGAGCTGTATATATTACAGGCACTAAATAGTGCATTTTTAATCTGGGGTCTTGGTTATGACCTACTGGATTCACAAGAACTAGAGACTACAATTTAAACAAACTTGTGCATTGACTATATTTGGGAGTGTGTATTACACATCGAATATACAGTAGAGGTGAAGAATAGATTCAAGGGTCTGGATTTGATAGATAGAGTGCCTGAAGAACTATGGACGGAGGTTCGTGACATTGTACAGGAGGCAGCAATCACCACCATACCAAAGAAAAAGAAATGCAAGAAAGCAAAATGGCTTTCTGATGAGGCTTTACAAATAGCAGAGGAAAGAAGGAAAGCGAAAGGCAAAGGCGAAAAGGAAAGATTTACCCAACTGAACGCAGATTTCCAGAGAACAGCAAGGAGAGATAAGGAGGCCTTCCTGAATGAACAGTGCAAAGTAATAGAAGAAAACAATAGAATGGGAAGGACTAGAGATCTCTTCAAGAAAGTTGGAGAAATCAAGGGAGCGTTCCATGCAAAGCTGGCCATGATAAAGGACAAAAACGGTAGGGACCTAACAGAAGCAGAAGAGATTAGGAAAAGATGGCAAGAATACACAGAAGAACTATACAAGAAAGACCTCGATGTCCTTGACAACCACGACGGTATAATCACTGACCTCGAGCCAGACATCCTGGAATGTGAAGTTAAATGGGCCTTAGAAAGCATTGCTAACAACAAAGCTAGTGGAGGTGATGGTATCCCAGCTGAGCTATTCAAAGTCTTAGAAGAGGATGCTGTTAAAGTTCTGCACTCCATTTGCCAGCAAATTTGGAAAACGCAACAGTGGCCACAGGATTGGAAAAGATCAGTATACATTCCAATCCCAAAGAAGGGCAATGCCAAGGAATGTTCAAACTATCGCACAATTGCACTCATATCACACGCTAGCAAGGTCATGCTCAAGATCCTACAAGCTAGGCTTCAACAGTACGTGGATAGAGAACTACCAGAAGTACAAGCTGGGTTTCGAAGAGGTAGAGGAACGAGAGATCATATTGCCAACATTCGCTGGATTATGGAGAAAGCAAGAGAGTACCAGAAAAATATCTACTTCTGCTTCATTGACTATGCTAAAGCCTTTGACTGTGTGGATCACAACAAACTATGGCAGGTCCTTAAAGAGATGGGAGTACCAGACCACCTCACATGTCTCTTGAGAAACCTGTATAAGGGCCAAGAAGCGACAGTTAGAACCGGATACGGAACAACTGATTGGTTCAGCATAGGAAAAGGAGTACGACAAGGATGTATACTGTCACCTTGCTTATTTAATATATATGCAGAGTACATCATGCGAAATGCTGGCCTGGATGAATCACAAGCGGGAATTAAGATTGCTGGGGAAAAGATCAACAACCTCAGATATGCAGATGATACCACTCTAATGGCTGAAAGTGAAGAGGATCTAAAGAACCTCTTGCTCAGAGTAAAAGAGGAGAGCGCAAAAGTGGGCTTGAAGCTCAACATCAAAAAAACTAAGATCATGGCATCCGGCCCCATCACTCCTTGGCAAATAGAAGGGGAAGTCGTGGAAGTAGTGACAGACTTCACGTTCCTGGGATCCCAGATCACCGCAGACTGTGACTGCAGCCATGAAATTAAAAGACGCCTGCTCCTTGGGAGGAAAGCGATGGCGAACCTAAACAGCATGATAAAAAGTAGAGACATCACCCTGCCAACAAAAGTCCGCATGGTCAAAGCAATGGTATTCCCAGTAGTCATGTATGGCTGCGAGAGCTGGACTATAAGGAAGGCCGAGCGCCGAAGAATAGATTCTTTTGAACTATGGTGCTGGAGGAGACTCTTGAGAGTCCCTTGGACTGCAAGAAGAACAAATCAGTCAATCCTCAAAGAAATCAACCCTGACTGTTCCCTGGAAGGCCAGATAATGAAACTGAAGCTCAAATACTTTGGCCACCAAATGAGAAGGGAGCACTCACTGGAAAAGACCCTGATGCTGGGAAAGATTGAAGGTCAAAGAAGACGGGGACGGCAAAGGATGAGATGGTTAGACAGTGTCAGCGATGCAACGAACATGAAATTGAGCCAACTTCGGAGGACGGCGGAAGACAGGAGAGCCTGGCGGGAGATTGTCCATGGGGTCGCGAAGAGTCGGACTCGACTGTGCGACTGAACAACAAAAATTACTAACAAGGTGCTTTTGTGCATTAATATTATGATTTGTGCTCAGAGCTGAAGAGGTGCAGTGAATTTGTACTCAGCCATGAATTTGCTGTTGCATCCTTAAGGCAAGTCAATTTCTCTCAACTTCATTGAATCCAACTGCTGGGCTTAAATCCCTGAATTCACTTTTACTTATAGTTTCAGTGGGTAGCCATGTCTGCAGTAGAACAGCCAGATTCAACTCCAGTAGCAAAAAGATGGGGGGGGGGGGGTTTAAGCTTTCAAGAGTCTGTTGTAGGGAGCTTTCTCTCTCAACAGTTTATACCCCCAGGCAGTGTTCCCTCTAAGCTGAGTTAGCATGAACTAGCTCACAGTTTTTTACCCTCCAGCTCATACATTTTTGTCTTAGCTCAGGAACGGTGGCTTCAGAGCAAACTCATTTATTTTTTTTAAAAAAGGTAATGCTTCCCTTGCTCGAAAGCCAGTTGAATCCGACTCTTGGGTTGCGGTGCTCATCTCCGTTTCAAAGCCCAAGAGCCAGCGCTGTCCGAAGACGTTTCCGTGGTCATGTGGCCGGCATGACTAAACACCAAGGCGCACGGAACACTGTTACCTTCCCACCGAAGTGGTACCTATTTATCTACTTGCAATTTCTTGCTTTCAGACTGCTAGGTTGGCAAGAGCTGGAACTAGAGACGGGAGCTCGTCTATGGCATCTAGATAGACTTATTTTTTAGAGATTTGGAAACCGTTTATAGAAATGTATGTGTACATTTGCCTCCACTGTTATATTTTGCCATTATGTATATATATTTTTTACTTTCCTTTTCTTTTAAAAATCTTATTTAGTTACTGGATTTTAAATATTTTTTTTCTTATTTTTTTTCCTGTTTTTTGAAAGAAAGAAATCTTTAAAAATACTCCCCCCCCAAACAAAATCTTGTTGGTCTCTTAAGGTGCTACTGGACTCGAATCTAGCTCTTCTATAGATAATTGCCAGATCCTCACACTGAGATACTTTCTCCACTTCTCCCTCCACCTCCTGTGGCAGCAGGAAGACTGGCTGCATCCTGGCTCAGCAGGTTGGAACACTTAAAGCTATAGGCACCATTTCTGACGAGGCCCTGGCAACCATCAGGATGAAGGAAATACAAAACGTTCTTTTGTGTGCCTCTGAACTTTAGGTATGGGATGAGCTGTGTATGTCAAGTGCTGTCAAGTCACAGCTGATTTATGGCGATCCGGTAATGCCATAGAATCCCCCCTTCCAAAGCAGCCATTTTCTGCAAGGAAACTGATCTCTGTCATCTGGAGATTGGCAACCCAAGATGTTGTGCCTTTAACAGGTACACAGCAGACAGAAATTCAATAGGCAGAGGTTGGCTAGGCATGCAGATGCCGTGAATGGGAAGGCCTGAGTGGTCATGTCTGCCTATCTTGCAAAGGAGCCCCGCGTTTGGGGGGAAATTGGTTACCGAAAATATAATTGGTAAAACTTCCGGTTGGGGGCTTTTATTTATTTCCATAAATATCTCTAAATATTTTGTGAGATAAGTGAAGTACAAGGGACAGGACTCCTGCATTGGCATAAGATTTAACCACTCAGACCAGAAACTTCTATCGATGTTTCTTCGCAGCCAACACAATTAGCCACACAGCTGGATGGAAGTCACCTGGATAAAGCTAGTGCCGAAAGAGAACATGGGGGTGGGAAGCGCTTTGTGTGGCCTTGGAGTTACGGTAAAACAGACATTGGCGCACCGTCTGCTTTGCTCCCTCCCTCGGCTCCTACAGATGTCGCTCTCGCACTAATCCGCCCGGTGTGTGAGCGAGCAGCAAGAAAGCAGCGGTTTTTGCCTCGCCGCGCGATGTGTGATTGATTTTGTATGGTAATGTGGAGGCGGGGCTGAGACGGAGGTCTTTTTATTATGGGAAACGCATGTTGGACAAGGCGCTGAGCTTCGGCTGGTCGCCTTCGACGGACCCTAAAGATATGAAAGTGGGTCTTGGCTGCTTTGCTGTGTGGAGCGTTGCGCTTTGTTTGGGTAGCTGTGCCTGGGCGGAGCGGTCTCTTTGTAAGGCGGAACATGCTCTAACATTGTAAGTTCCTCTCGGTGCGTTTACTTTTCTGTGTTGCTACTTTTCAGGTTAGCGTTTCTGTCGCTTTCTTCTCAGAGGTCTTCGTTTTCTCTTTGGACGTGGCAGCCTTTGCAGAAACTTTAGGAGCCTCCGGGGTCATGAGGGGTTGTGATGCTGTTGGTAATCAAACAGATCTCGAATTTAGGAAGCGCTGCTGTATTTGGGGCTTCGATCCTAAACGTGCTGATTTGAAAGTAAATCTACTTGAAAATCATTGGGGCTTACTTCTTTGGTAAGCAACAGGATTGGGATTGTCTTTTGTCAATTTATCGCTTTTCATCCTTTCGTCCAACTCCCCGTGACTGGCATTGGCTCTGGAGTAATAAAGTGAACCGCAAACCTCTCCCTGAGGTTAATTTGGCAAGGGCAAAACGCTTCCTGTTGATAGGTGGAAAGTAGGCGGGGGGGCACTAACGGATCCTGTAACCGCAAATATTTCTTGGTGTGGCTCTGTTTAAAGATTCCTTGTGGGCTGAGTTGGGAAATGCTGCATGAATTGCTCACAAGGGTAAAAAACAACAACACCTCACAATCGGGAATGCAGGGATGATTCTTTAATAGATGCACAGATTGTAGGGGGATGTCCCAGTGGAGAGCAAACAGGGGTGTGTAAGCTTGCCCCTGACTGTATGTTGCATCAAGCCTTTTGCTGTATGCTGAATGGAAGGCTATTCAGCAGACAGGGGCATCCCTGAGTGAACAGCAGCTTGAAGTAGGGGGGAGGGGGATTCCTTTGTTTCTGTTTCCACTCTCATTGGCGCAATGGTGGGCAGAACAGAATGCCGCACAGTGAGGCATGAGGAAGAGCCTCAACAAGAAGGGAATTACACCCCTCCCCCAATTTTGAATTTAATATATTTGCTGGTTAAACTGCTGACTTAATTTGTTGTTCCTCAGGGGAAGAACATTAGATTCTTGTTTCCTTTCATGAGGAGCTTTTTGATAGTGCAAAGGGTCTCCCACCCCCCTTTAAGGTGGGTGTGGAAAAGGATGCTCTCACTATTGGGTCCAAGGCTCTGAGCTGAGAGGATGGCCTGGAGAGGCAAGTGTGGCTTTTGTTGCCTCAGATCAATGCCTCCATCCTCTGTCAGTTGGTTTCTCTATATATTTATCTGCATCTGATAATGAATCTCCCCCTCTTTTTAAGTTTAGCTAGTGGGTGGAGTATCCCTTTAACTCTTCATCTCCCAAGCTCTAGTGGCTGAGTGTACTGTACTGGTGAGCAATGTTCCCTCTAAGCTGTGGAGTCTTGTGAGTAAAAATTCCACTTTGTGAGCTACTGACATTAAATTTGTGAGCGAGCCATTTGGCTTCTACATAAATTGGTTTGCTCTGGAGCCATCCTTCCTGAGCTCAGAAAAAAATGTGTGAGCCGGAGGCTAAAAAACTGTGAGCTAGCTCACACTAACTCAGCTTAGAGGGAACACTGCTGGTGAGCCAGGAAGTGGCTAAAATCTGATCTAGCCTGCAAATTTGATGGGTAGTCTTAAATAAATCGCTCTCAGACTCTGTGTCCTGGGTTTGGTTGTAATGGTGATTGCACTGGTCTACCTTGCAGGGTTGTTGCAAGTATTGCTGATGTCATGCACATGAAGTGCATTAAACACTTTAGAAAACATTTAGTAGTATAATGAGAGATGGTATGATACGGCAGTTAGAGTATTGGGTGTGAATCTTGGAGACCCAGTTCCAAATACCTACTCTGCTTTAAAGCTTAGTAGGACCTTCTTGCTAAATCACTCTTTCAGTTTAGTTGATTTCACAAGATTGCTGTGAGAATAAAGTGGAGTTAGGGGTAAACATGTACACTGCCCGGAGCTCCTTTGGAACAAAAGTGGGATTAAAAAATTCTAATAAATTAAAATGAGTGTAGAAAATGCAGATTTTTACAAAATTGCTAGAAATCTTCACAAAAAACACAAAAATATGTGTCTCTTATATTTTCTATTTCTGGAATGCAAACACCAACCCCCTACATTGGCTATTTTTATTAACAATACTAGAGTAGATCAGAAGTGTTCTTAGCAATTTGGGTGAAAGTGACAGAAAGTACATGACTATGAAGTGTACAATGAAATAGAAAAGTAGAAAGCTTGTTGAACAGCCCAGGAGAAAATGGAAATGTCTGAGCAGGACTGGAAATCCTAATAGTTGGCACTTTCTGTTCCAGTACAACCAAGCAGACAAGCAAGAAAGGTGGTAGCGAACTTTTTCGGGCACATGCATAAAATGAGTTTGTTGGTAATATTGCATAGTCCTTGGACATAAGACTATCATTGTTGTGCAGGGTTGCCACTTTCTGGAAAGTCAGGGAAATGGAAATTGTTCAGGGAAAGTCAGAGAAATTGGTCTGAAGTCAGGGGAAGTCAGGGAAGTTGTGATTAAAATATATTCAAGCACTGAATTTTTTACCTACTGCTGCAAGAGCATGATCTGTTCTTGTGGCAACTGCAATAGAGAAATAGCAGAATACAAGTAAAACTTAATGATGCCCTTTCCCAGCTCTACCTTTTCCTCACCTCCACCCCCAGCAACCAGCCTAATGTATTTGTTGAGCTCTGTCCCTGCATGATTTCCAAGGTCTGCCTGTAGCATTTGCAAAGCAAGGCTAGTTTAAATGTTTAGCAATATACAAACTTCAAACATCTAACTGTTTTCATCCCTACCTGCTAGTACTGCATTTAACCTACATATAAAGATAAGCATGTTTTTGGGTCATGCTTGTATATGGAATGGATGTTTTGTCTCCTGCTAAACCCAGCAAAGAGTTGCAAATGAGTTTTGGTGTTGTTGGATTTCACAGACAGCTAGAACTTTCTACTCTGCACCATGCAAAATAAATTTTGCAAATGTGATTGCTTGTTCCTGCTGGAGTTTACAGAGTACCAGCTCTCTCACCCTCTTTCCTGACTTCTCCCATGCATAAAGGTTGCAAATGAGGGTTGTCTGCTTCTCTAGATTGCAGAAACTCCACCTCCCTTCTTGCTGCTTATCTGCTCATTACACTTTCCAGCTTTGGAAAGTTCCTGCTTGCTAGAAAACAAATCTGCTAACATCTTGGTGTCAGGCAGGTGGTTCTGTGTACGGCTGTATCTGAAACCACATTTTGAAGATGACTTCTAAGAGGACAGTTTTTAATATGCAGTGGCTGGATTTCAAACTTCATCCTGACTTTGTTCCATGGCTATCACCGGTTGCTGGAGGAAAATGTAAAGGTTATTGTAAAGTGTGCTATAAAACCTTTGAACTAAGTAATATGGGAATTAGAGCTGTGGAGTCTCATGCACAAGAACCATTACATCAGAAGAACCTGAAAATTAAATCAAGTCAGCAGTCCATTGCAGTATGTTTAGGTTCAAAGGCAAGTACAAGTTCAGATAGTAAAACCAGAGAGGGTAAAGAGACATCCCCTGCGAAAACTGGAAAACATGATCAGAGTGATGAAAATGGCAAAGAATTACCCACCACACAAACTAGAATGGCTGCCTATGTAATCAAGGACTCTGTTAAGACAGCAGAGTGCCTGTGGGCTTTGCAACTGGTGATGAAGAAGATGTCATTTAACTCTTGTAACAACATCAGTGAGTTATTGAAGTGAATGTTCTCAGATAGCCAGCTCAACAGTTTCATCTTGGAAAAACAAAAGCAATGTATGTTGTTGCTTTTGACTTGGCACCATATTTCTCTGATCTTTTACTGAAACAGCTGAAGCAATGTCAAACATTTGTTATCTGTTTCGATGAAGCTTTTAATAAGGTGGTTCAAAAGGGTCAGATGGATTTAGTGGTTCATTTTTGGGATGATTACTGTCATAAAGTTTCTACATGGTATCTAACCAGTCAGGGAAATGAAAAATAAAACTTTAGTGGCAACCCTGTGTGTGGAGTTGCTTGTTGAAGGTAGTGAAACTTAGAGCAGGCCAGAACCCAGGCCCACCCAACTTTGCAATTATTTGGTACCAGGTCAACCCATCTCCTATACTTTGACTACTATTGATATGAGTTTGTGATCGAAAACTGACTCAATCTGGTCAACAATTGATAACTATGTCTTTGGTATTCTCTGTCACACTGCTGCCAGTCTAGAACAGGAACAAGGCTTTAGTACACCTGTTTGTTTTGGAGTTCATCCAGTGAACAATCGGAATTTGTTTTTCATTTGCAGTATTGCCAGATCAGTTTAACAGATTACTGAGAGTGCTACTTCTGATTATTATTTGACTTGGCTTTAATTTGGGGGGGTGGCTTGTACAGTAAGCAGAGCCTGTTTCAAGGGCCTTATATTGTGAAAGATTATGTCAAATAGTGGATTAAAGAGATAAGCAAGGAGGAGAACTGTTTTAATTAGTGTGAGCTTGCATGGGAGATACTGTACCCTGCTAGTGTTTTATTGGCTCAGGAATTGCCCTCAACTAGTCCTAGGGAACTGATGAAAGGAGAGGTCACAGAAGGCAGCAGAAGCTGATGGCTGAAGGGCAGAAATAAAGGAGAGGGGAATGAAAGCTTTGGAATTAATGAGAGGGGAAATTGGTATTGCTGCAGGGGCTTGACAGTCAAGGCCCCCCACAGGCCTCTTGGGGCCTGGCCCCCCCACTTACCGCCAAGGCCCCTGACTTCACATCCAGCCCAGGCCCCCCAACACAGACCCGTTTGCTTTCCAAGCTCCCTGGCCGGCAGCCCCTTTCCTGCTCAAGCAGCCAAGCCACATGGCTTTCTGGTCCAACAGCTTCACCTCCCGGCCTGCATTGCTGTGCTCAGCAGTGGTATCCCACTCGGGGAGGGAAGGCAGCAGAAGTGAGAAGCTGAGCTGTGGTGGGCTGGCACCGAAGGGGTTACGGTGCTGTGAGAGCTGCCACTCGGTTCGGCTGGGCTTGCCTCCCCTCCACAATGTTATGCTTGGTGGGAAGATGGCAGTGGATGGAACGAGTGGGGAGCCTGTCTCCAGTGGCGGGGGGGGGGGAT